TCAAAAGTGGAGCGAGGGAAGATATATATATAAAGATAGCAATCATAGCACTCAGATTTTAGCACTCAGATTTTATGTCGCTTCTCTGGATTCACGTATGATATATGCACCGTCCCTCTGCTTTTACATGGCAGCAGCTTTGTTTGGTTGAAAAATCAAATAACCTGTTCCTTCTTTAGGCATATATAACGAAAATTAACCCCGTTATTATGGGTTACCCCGTTATGGGTTTACTAAGAAACTGCTAGATTTTGTCACTGCCGGCAATAATGACAGTCTCCTGCCACTTTTCCGTTTCTCTGGTCTGCTTAAATGATCTCCTAGACTAATAGAAGCAAGGGGAAAGTGAGATTAGGCATATGAGTCCGGAAAAGGGACATAAAGCTCAGAGTTTCTATTGTGCGTTTAAAGACGAACATGTGGAGCACAACCTGTGTACAAAAAGTTGACAGATATCTTTGTATTATATCCTTGCTTCATGAATTTAGTTGGGCGAGGAAGACGCCCGCAGAATTGATTCGAAGGTTATTTGGGATGGCCATACAGCGAGTATTGAGGGGACCGCTAAGGCGGCCCAGTCGCATATCAGCATCGAGGAGCAGATAGCGCAGATTCATCGCGCACAAGGGCTGCTGCCAGACGAAGGCAAAGAACGCATTGGACCTCATGCGACCGATACCGACGAGGATTCGATGGACGCTACACCCTCCTCAGGCGCCACCGGCAGTATCACGTCAAAGGGCTCAACAACATCATCGGCTGCGGCGATTGCTTCCTCAGCCTCTTACGGTCTCCGATCGGTCACTGCCGCGGTGGTTCCAGTGGTGCCTGTCGCGCCACCGGTGGTCATTGTCCAACCACCTGCATTGGGCGCTGTTGGTAACATCCTTAGCCCACCTTTTGTTTTTTTATTTTGCCGTCGTTTATTTTTAGGAGCTCTGTATTCCGCTGCCGCTCCATCTGGCACGGTACCAACCGCGATCGGATATTCGAGTTATAATTTGCTGATGGAAGAGGAGCCACCCAGTAAGCGTCAGAAGAGCGTAGAAGATTTGCTACAGCCGGAAGAGGAATGGTTGAAACTGTATTTGGATAGAGGCCCAATAACCGTGCACGTGATAACGCCGGTCATTATGGATAAGCCCGAATGGAGGCTG